ATTCCTATTCCTCCTCCTCCTCCTCCTCCTCCTCCTCCCGTGGGACGGCCAACTGTCTCACACGCCTTGTCAGCACCGACGCACTTGTGTGGCCGGCGCCCTCCGAGAGGCAATGGCCGCCGAGGCCCCGGTGCCGATGCACCTCGACGACGTGGAGTGCCATAAGGGCCAGCTTCGTGAGGCATCCGAGTCCGAGGACGACGGCGCGACGGCGCCCCTCGCCACCCACGAAACCACCCCAACCCAACCCGACGTCTCCAAGTTGCCCTGCGTATGGAAAAAACACGTATGGAACCTGTATGGAAAAACACGTATGGAACCTGTATCCATTCCCCCCCCACCCCGAAATTCTAGACGCTTCGCGTATCCCCACCAGCCCGTCCAGAAATGAGCCCCAGGGGAGTGGAGGTGATGAGGGAAGCGGGGGAGCATGCAGAAGAACAAAGAGCGGGTTAAGCCGCCATACGCCCCAAGAGGGGGAGGATGTAGGAGGAGTCGTCGTCGTCGGAGTAGGAGGAGGAAGACGAGGAGCAGGAGGAGGAGCAGGAGGAGGAGGGGGAGGAGGAGGAGGAGGAGGAGGAGGAGGAAGATGAGGAGGAGGAGATGGAGGAGGTTGAGGACGAGGAGGACGAGAAGGAGGAGGAGGAGGAGGAGGAGAAGGAGGAGGAGGAGGAGGGGGAGGGGGAGGAGGGAGGAGGGAGAAAAAGAGGAGGAGGAGGAGGAGGAGGAGAATCGCCTCGTGGACTCCACCTGAGGCAATATTGGAGCGCTCCCGGGAGCTCTTGGGGCCGTCTTGGAGCTCTCTTGGGTTTCTCTTGGTGCCTTCTTGGGCCATCTTGGAGCCATCTTCAGGCCTCGGATGGCCATCGGAAGCGAAAAAGCGAGAAAGCAAAACACGTTGATTTTTCTAAAGTTTTGGATGGATTTTGGCATCTTGGGAGTCTCTTGGGATCATCCTGGAAGCCTCTGGGGCGCTTCTTGGAGCCTCTTGGGGCCCCTTTTTGGGCGAGCGGGGGAGCATGCAGAAGAACAAAGGGCGGGGTGAGCCGCCATATACCCCAAGAGGGGGAGGATGTAGGAGGAGCCGTCGTCGTCGGAGTAGGAGGAGGAAGAGGAGGAGCAGGAGGAGGAGGAGCAGGAGGAGGAGGAGGAGGAAGATAAGGAGGAGGAGATGGAGGACTGCGAGGACGAGGGGGACGAGAAGGAGGAAAAGGAAAAGGAGGAGGAGGAGGAGGAGGAGGGGGAGGGGGAGGAGGGAGGAGGAAGAAAAAGAGGAGGAGGAGGAGGACAATGGCGAGCTTGGGGGCCTCTTGGGCCGTCTTTGGGGCCTCTTGGCGTTCCCGGGGGCCTCTTGCGTATCTCGGGGAGCCTCTTGTGGCCTCTTGGGGGTCTCTTGGGAGCCTCTTGGAGGCCTCTTGGGGGCCTCTTGGGGCCTCTTGGGGCTCTCTTGGGGCGCTCTTGGGGCGCTCTTGGGAGCTTTCGAGGCGCTCTTGGGGCCATCTTGGAGGAGATCTATCAAAGAAGGGGGGGGTCCTCAATTAGCGCTGCCCCTCTAGAGTGCCTCGAATCGCTTCTTGGGCCCTTCTTGAGGCCAAAATCTTTCCAAAACCTAGGTAAAATCAATGTTTTGTGTTTTCTCGCCTTTTCGCTCTTGGAGCCGTCTTGGGCCGTCTTGGGAGCCTCTTGGGCCTCTTGGGGGTCTCTTGGGAGCCTTGTGGAGGCCTCTTGGGCGCCTCTTGGGGCCTCTTGGGGCGCTCTTGGGGCGCTCTTGGGGCGCTCTTAGGAGCCTTCGGGGCGCTCTTGGGCCATCTTGGAGGAGATCGATCAAAGAAGAGGGGGTCCCCAATTAGCGTTGCCCCTCTAGAGTGCCTCGAGTCGCCTCTTGGGCCCCCCAAGAGGCCAAAATCCTTCCCAAACCTAGGTAAAATCATTGTTTGTTGCTTTCTCGCCTTTTCGCTCTTGGAGCCGTCTTGGGCCATCTTGAACTCTCTTGGGGCCTCTTGGGGGTCTCTTGGCAGCCTCTTAGAGGCTTCTTGGGGGCCTCTTGGGGTCTCTCGGGGCCCTCTTGGGGCGCTCTTGGGGGCGCTCTTGGGAGCCTTCGGGGCGCTCTTGGGGCCATCTTGGAGGAGATCTATCAAAGAAGGGGGGAGCTCCAATTAGGGTTGCCCCTCTAGAGTGCCTCGAAGCGCCTCTTGGGCCCCCCCAAGAGGCCAAAATCCTTCCAAAACCTAGGTAGAATCAATGTTTTGTGCTTTCTCGCTTTTTCGCTCTTGGAGCCGTCTTGATCCATCTTGGGCGCCCTGACACCTCGCGAGACGCCTCGTCCAGGTCAGTGGGGAGGGGTAAGGGGAGGGGTAAACCCCTCCCCGAAGGGGAACGAGGGCCAGAAGGGGAACGAAGGGGTTGGCAGAGAAAACTCCCTAGACGAGGAAACTCCCTAGACCACCTACGCCCTAAAGGGCTGGTGGGATTCGGGACTTCGGGTTGGGTTGGGGTGGTCTGGCAGGTAGTCAGCCCCTGTTGACGTCGCCAAATTCTCGGAGGCCTTTTGGATCGCTCTTCTCTTCGCCGCGGGTGGACGCGGCTCGAGAAGCCGGCCAGAGTGGCCCCCCCCCTGGAGGGGTCTGGGCACCGTGTTTTTTTGGATTGGGAGGAGGAGGAGGAGGAGGAGGAGGAGGAGGAGGAGGCGGAGGAGGAGGCATAGGAGGAGGCAGGAGGCATAGGCAAGGAGGAAGGCATAGGAGGGGAGGAGGAGGAGGAGGAGGAGGAGGAGGAGGAGGCGGAGGAGGAGGGAGGAGGAGGAGAGGAGGAGGAGGAGGAGGAGGAGAGGAGGAGGAGGAGGAGGAGGAGGAGGAGGAGGAGGGAGGAGGAGGAGGAGGAGGGGAGGAAGAGGAGGAGGGAGGGAGGGAGGAGCGAGGAGGAGGAGGAGGAGGAGGAGGAGGAGGAGAGGAGGAGGAGGAGGAGGAGGAGGAGGAGGAGTAGGAGGAGAAGGAGGAGGAGGAGGAGGAGCATCCCCGTCTTGAGGTCAGAGCTGACTTCGGGACGCGTGCCTCGAGGCCAGGTCCGGCGCCAGAGCGCATGCCTCCTGGAAGCATGCCCGACTTCTGACCCAAGGCGCTCGGGAAGAGGAGAGGGGAGGGGTGGCAGCAGGGGCGACGTCGAGGGACGGAGAATGAGCAGGGAGCCTTCCTGCTCGTGGCGAGGAGGAGGAGTAGGAGGAGAAGGAGGAGGAGGAGGAGGAGCATCCCCGTCTTGAGGTCAGAGCTGACTTCGGGACGCGTGCCTCGAGGCCAGGTCCGGCGCCAGAGCGCATGCCTCCTGGAAGCATGCCCGACTTCTGACCCAAGGCGCTCGGGAAGAGGAGAGGGGAGGGGTGGCAGCAGGGGCGACGTCGAGGGACGGAGAATGAGCAGGGAGCCTTCCTGCTCGTGGCGAGGGAAAGAGAGAGAGAGAGAGAGAGAGAAGAGAGAGAGAGAGAGAGAAAAGAGAGAGAGAGAGAGCAAGACATACATAAAGACAGGGATAACAAAAACGAGAGACAGAGATCTATATATAGAGAGAGAGAGAGAGAGAGAGAGAGATCGACAGAGAAAGACAGAGAGAAACAAAAAAGACGAGAGAAAGAGAGAGAGAGAGAGAGAGAAAAAGACATAGAGAAAGACTCAGACCCCCGACGTCGTGTTTTTTTTCAGACCGTGGGCCCCAAGAGGTCTGGACCCTTTGTCTGGGGCCGGCTCTCCGTCCCTGGACGGGCCCGGTGAGGCCCCCGGGGGCGGAACTTGGCCAAAAGAAGTCCGTCGTGTTTTTTACCGAACAGCGAAAACTGATAGGCTTCTAGCGGTCTCAAAAGAGAGCATCATGACTCCCCCGGGGGTCTGGGCAGATGCCGGACGGGTGCCCCAGGAATCTGGGGACTCCTTTTTTAGCCAACAGTAACGCACTTCGTGTTCTTCGAGTTCCCAGAACTCCATTCCCGGGCATCATTTTGAATGCCCGGAGCCAACTGTAGGCCACTTCGTGGTCTTCGAGTTCCCAGAACTCCATTCCCGGGCCACATTTTGAATGCTGAGGCAGGCTGATGCTGAGGCTGAGGCAGGCTGAGGCTGAGGCAGGCTGAGGCTGAGGCCGAGGCTGAAGGCAGACTGAGGCTGGGGCTGAAGCAGGCTGAGGCTGAGGCTGAGGCAGGCTGAGGCTGAGGCTGAGGCTGAGGCAGGCTGATGCTGAGGCAGGCTGAGGCTGAGGCTGAGGCTGAAGCAGGCTGAGGCTGAGGCTGAGGCAGGCTGAGGCTGAGGCTGAGGCATGCTGAGGCTGAGGCAGGCTGAGGCCGAGGCCGAGGCTGCAGGCAGACTGAGGCTGAGGCTGAAGCAGGCTGAGGCTGAGGCTGAGGCAGGCTGAGGCTGAGGCTGAGGCAGGGTGAGGCTGAGGCAGGCTGAGGCTGAGGCCGAGGCTGAAGGCAGACTGAGGCTGAGGCTGAAGCAGGCTGAGGCTGAGGCAGAGGCTGAGGCTGAGGCTGAGGCTGGCTGATGCTGAGGCAGGCTGAGGCTGAGGCTGAGGCTGATGCAGGGTGAGGCTGAGGCAGGCTGAGGCTGAGGCCGAGGCTGAAGGCAGACTGAGGCTGAGGCTGAAGCAGACTGAGGCTGAGGCTGAGGCAGGCTGCGGCTGAGGCTGAAGCAGGCTGATGCTGAGGCAGGCTGAGGCTGAGGCTGAGGCTGATGCAGGCTGAGGCTGAGGCAGGCTGAGGCTGAGGCCGAGGCTGAAGGCAGACTGAGGCTGAGGCTGAAGCAGGCTGAGGCTGAGGCTGAGGCAGGCTGAGGCGAGGCTGATGCAGGCTGAGGCTGAGGCAGGCTGAGGCTAAGGCTGAGGCTGATGCAGGCTGAGGCTGCGGCAGGCTGAGGCTGAGGCGGAGGCTGGCTGAGGCTGAGGCTGGCTGAGGCAGGCTGATGAGCTGAGGCAGGCGGTGAGGCTGAGGCTGAGGCAGGCTGAGGCTGAGGCTGAGGCTGAGGCTGAGGCAGGCTGAGGCTGAGGCAGGCTGAGGCTGAGGCGAGGCTGAGGCAAACTGAGGCTGAGGCTGAAGCAGGCTGAGGCTGAGGCTGAGGCTGAGGCTGAGGCTGAGGCTGAGGCTGAGGCAGGCTGATGCTGAGGCAGGCTGAGGCTGAGGCTGAGGCTGATGCAGGCTGAGGCTGAGGCAGGCTGAGGCTGAGGCCGAGGCTGAAGGCAGACTGAGGCTGAGGCTGAAGCAGGCTGAGGCTGAGGCTGAGGCAGGCTGAGGCTGAGGCAGGCTGAGGCTGAGGCTGAGGCAGGCTGAGGCTGAGGCTGTGACTGCGACTGCCGTTGCCACTGCGACTGTCATCGCGAATGCGACTACGTCTGCGAGAACAGCAGAATTCTGCAACTGGATTCTCATCTGAATCTTAAGGGGAATGCTTCCAGATATGCTCCTACACATCGCTGTTAGGTTGCTTTGCCGGGATAATTTGTTTTTTCCCAGCTTGGGCTCCGGCCCAGGGTTCTCGGGGTGTTGGCGGGCTTGTGGCCCTGCACCAGGATGGTGTCGAGCAGCGGGCGTCGGAATTTGACACGCAACGATGCGTGTGCGGAGGGGGAGGTCTCCAACGTGCGTCTCGGCGTGCATGCGTTCGGCACGTGTTCGCAGTGCTTCTGGCCACACCGGGCAGCCCAGGGGGGGGTGGGGGGGGCAGCTTCCAGTCTCCGGATTCTGGACACGTACAGATATTGGCCCGGAGGGGGCGGGCCCTACATGCGCCTGCTCGTGCGCGCGGGGCATGTGTTTTCACGAGTCCGTGGGAGGGGACCCAACATGCGCCTGGCGCGTGCGCGCGGGGCGTCAGGGCTCCAGTCCAGGTTTCCTTCTGCGTGGGCGGGCCTTTGGTCGTGTTCCAAGAGGGTGCCGAGCAGCAGGCGTCGGCACTGTATACGTAAAGACACGTGTGCGGAAGGGGTTTTGGGCTCAAACATGCGTCTCGGCGTGCATGCGTTCGGCACGCGTTTCCATGTGTTTCTCGCCACGACGGGCCCCCCAGAGGGAAACCCAGTTTTCGGATTCTTCGCCCGTGAAAATGCAGGTGCGGAGGGGGGGATCCAACACGCGCCTGGCGCATGCGCGCGGGGCACGTGCTTTCACGTGTCCACGGCCCCCGGCGGGGGACCAAATTCTGGTCGTCGGATTCTTGACACGTAGAAATCTCTCGCGGAGGGGGGGGCCCAAGATGCGCCTGGTGCGTGCGCGCGGGGCATGTGTTTTCAGTGTCCACGGCCCCCAACGGAGGGACCCAACTTCTAGTCGGCGGATTCTTCACACATAGAAATCTGTGCGCGGAGGGGTGACCTAACATGCGCCTGGCGCGTGCGCGCGTGGCGTAAGGTCTCTGGCCAAGAATTCTCTTTGTGTTGGCATACCTTCGGCCCTGTACCAGAAGGCCCCCAGGTGGGATCCATCTTATAGTCGGCGGGTTCTTTACACGAAACAGCACGTGGTCGGAGGGGGGGACCCAACATGTGCCTGGCGCGTGCGCGCGGCGGGGCACGCGTTTTCACGTGTCCACGGCCCCCAGAGTGGGTATCCATTTTCCAGTCGGCGGATTCTTCGGCGGCTTCTTGACACGTACAAGTACGTGCGCGGAGGGGGGGACCCACCGTGCGTCTGGCGCACGTGTTTTTACGTGTCCACGCCCCTAAGGGGGGGGGCACGATTTCTGGCCGCCAGATTCTTTACATAAGCATACGTGTGCGGAAAAAGGGGGTCCCAACACGTGCCTGGCGCGTGCGCACGGGGCATGTGTTTTCACGAGTCCACGGCTCCCAGGTGGGACTCAAAGTCTAGTCGGTGGATTTTTGTGAGTAAGAGTATGTGTTCGGAGGGGGGGACCCAACCTGGCGCATGCTCGCGGGGCACGTGCTTTCACTTTCCACGGCCCCCAGGGGGGGGCGGGGGCAACTTCTAGGCGCCCGATTCTTTCACACGTGAGAGTCTGTGCGCGAGGAAGGGGGACCCAACACGCTCCTGGCGCGGCGTGCGCGCGGGGCACGTGTTTTCACGTCTCCACGGCCCCGACGGGGAGAGGTCGGGAGAGCGAAGAAGGAACAAGTAGAAGCTATATATATATACACTCATATATATATATATATATATATATATGTACATGCAGTGTGTGTGAGAGGAGTCGGAGGAGGAGGATGAGGAGGAGGAGGAATACGAGAAGGAGGAGGAGGAGGAGGAGGACGACGAGCAGGAGGAGGAGGAGGAGGAGGGGAGGAGGAGGAGGAGGAGGAGGAGGAGGAGGAGCAGGAGGAGGGGGATGGGGATCAGCAGGACGAGGCAGGCGATGAGAAGGACAAAGAAGAAATGGAGGATTGTGGACGAGCGACCAAGAGGACAGTATGATTATGATGTTGCTGCTGATGATGATGTTGATGAGGATGACGATGCTGATGCTGATGATGATGCTGATGGTGACGCTGATGGTGATGCTGATGATGATGATGATGATGATGATCAGGAACATGACGATGATGATGGTAACGATGACGCTGTTGATGATGATGATGATGATGATGATGATGATGATGATGGTGATGAAGTTGATGATGTTGGTGAAGCTGCAGATGATGCTGCTGCTGCTGGTGATGATGATGCTGATGGTGATGATGATGATGCTGCTGCTGCTGATGATGATGATGATGACCATGAGCATGACGATGATGATGGTAACGATGATGATACCGATGATGCTGATGATGATGGTGATGGTGATGCTGCTGCTGAGAATGATGGTAATGATTATTGTATTATGGCGACGACGATGATGACGATTCCGATGACGATGGAGACGATTATGCTGATGATGATGCTGATGATGATGATGCTGATGATGAAGATGCGGATGTTAATCATGCTGATGATGGAGAAGCGTCTGATGCTGCTGCTGATGATGGTGATGCTGATGACGATGCTGCTGGTGATGATGATGCTGCTGCTGATGATGATGCTGATGCTGATGATGATGATGATAGTGATGCTGGTGGTGGTGGTGGTGATGGTTTTGCTTATGATGAGGATGATGATGCTGACGATGATCATGATGATCATCATGACGAGTACGATGCTGATGATAATGATGCTGATGATGATGATGATGCTGACGATGATGATGCTGATTCAATTGATGCTGATGCTGATGATGCTGATGATGATCATGATGACGATGATTATGCTGATGCTGATGTTTCTGATGCTGATTATGTTGGTGATGGTGATGGTGATGGTGTTGATGGTGATGGCTTTTGTTGTGGTGATGATGATGGTGATGCGGATGATGGTGATCGTGAGTAATGATGAGAAAATTATGCTGCTGATGATGAGTATGATGATGATGCTGATGCTGATGATTATGGTGATGGTGAGGGCGCTGATTCGATGATGGTCTGGATGATGACGATAAACGTGATGGTGATGATTATGATGACGATGACGATGATGACAATGCCGAGGATCCGGATGATGATGATGATGATGATGATGATGATGATGATGATGATGATGATGATGATGATGACGATGATGATGATGGAGATGTTGTTGATGACGGTGATGATGATGCTGATGGTTATAGTGATGATGCTGATGCTGCTGATGATGTTGATGATGATGATCATGCTTTTGATGAAAATGGTGATGATAATAATGATGCTGATGCTGATGATGCTGATGCTGCTGCTGGTGATGCTGATTATTGCGATGATGATGACGACGATTATGATGATGATGTGAAGGATGATGAGGAGATAAGGCAGGAGGTAGTGATGACAGTCCAGAAGAGGCTAAGTTTATTCCGCGCGTCGTAAGACAAGTTTGAATCCAACTACCTTACCGGGTTTGTGCATCCCTCAGGCCCACTGCGTGAAGGGGGAGGGAAGCAAAATTAATCCATTGTCTTTGGCCCAGAAGCTCATCCCCCCCTCAGGACAGCGTCTCGACCATGGCGCCCAAGCCGATCTACATCATGCACTACCTTGCCCGTGCAAAGCCGGACGAGGACCCCCTCCTCTACATGTGCCTTTCTTGCGATCATTTGGGATCTCCTACCCCAGCGGGCGCGTCCAACTGGCGTTGGGGTATCGAACGCAAGGGTCGACCTAAAAGGTGTTGTTTGTTTTGTTTTGTTTGCGTTTTCCCTCGTTGTGTCTCCAAGGCGCCTCTGCTGCAGAACGAGATCGAAACGAACACGGCCCACGAACTCGCCAAAACACCGTTTGGGTGGAGCCCTGATCGAACGCCGCTGTTGGGGTTCGCCTATGGCTGCAGCCGTCCTTCCGATTCTGACCCAACCCCCGGTCTTTCAGATCTGGCCTGCGGGCGTAGAGTTCCCATCTGTTGTTGCCCGTCCTCCCCACGGCCCCTCAAAGAGGAGGAGGAGGAGGAGGAGAAGGAGGAGGAGGAGGATGAGGAGGATGAGGAGGACGGCCAGAGTCCGAGAATCGCGCCGCACTGCCGATGCATCTGCGATTCGGCTCGAGTTCGGAGCCTGTTTTCCTCCACCCTGACGTCAGCCGATTCATCGCCGATGCATCGGCGATGCGGCGCTGGGCGGCCTTGACACGAGCTCCTGCACTCGGGCCCCCCCCCGAATCCCTCCAGAACAAGCGAGAGTCACCGACAGCACGCGGACACCTCCATGCTCCTCCAACCCCCCACTTTCCCCCCCCGAGCCCCCGACTCCATTGAAGACAACCTCGAGCCTCCTCTTTCCTGCCTCCTCCTCCCTCTTCCTTCTCCTCCTCCTCCTCCTCCTCCTCCTCCCTCCCTGTCTCCCTCCCTCCCTCCCTCCTCCCGAACCCAGACCCCCCCAGAAACCTCCTGAGAACAGCTGGCAGCACATAATCGTGTCTGACAACCTCCCTCCTCCCTCTTCCGTCCTCCCTGCAGCCTGAACCGCCGGCATCATTCGGAGGAGCACCGCAGTCCTCCCTCCGTTCTCCTCCCCACTTATCCCTCTTGTCCTTTCCCTCCTTCCACCCGCCTTCCCCCTCATCCCTTTTACATGCGCGGTCTGTCCGAACCTTAGCGCGACGGAGGTCGGAAGCGTCTCCCGCATCCTGCCGTAGGGTCACACGAGTCTTGTGTTTGTGCGCGTTGTACCACGGAAGGATTGTTTTTCTCGTTCTGCCTCTGATCCACAGCGCGGCCGCTCCACTCACCATCTTCTTTCGGCGGCGGGCGAGGGGGGGAAGTGAGAAGGAGAAGGCCTTCTCAGAAGGTTCGGACGTCCCCCGTCCTTCTGAGAATTTCTAAGCCTTCCCCGAAGACGAACAGCTTCTCAGAAGGCGCCAGGGCTTCTGAGAAGTCCTGCCGCCTTCTGAGAAGGCCTTCTCCATCTCACTTCCCCCCCTCGCTCGCCGCCGCAATGCAGATCCACCCCTTGGGTTCCTTCCTACCCTTGGGGCCCCACCCCTCAGGACCCCATCTCTGGACCGAGCGTGGGCTCGAGAGCTGCAGTGTCGGGGGCGAGCGGGGCGCTCCCCGGGAGGCTGCGCCCCCCCCCCCCTGGAAGCGAGCCGCGTCCGCTTCGCATTCCTCCTCCCCGCCCTCCATCCATCTTCCCTTCCTCCGCCCCCTCGCTCGCCGCCGATCTCTCGCCCCTGCACAGACACCCTGTCGCGCAGCAGAGCGCCGACCACAGGCGTGTCTCCCGCCGCGGCCGCCAGAGAGCGGCCGGGCCACCCCTGCGGCCGACCAGTCTTCGGTGTGCACACGCGTTCGACACCCCGCTTCTGCCAACCTGGTTGCCACCAGTATGCTAGAAGATGATATTCGACGGCCCAGAAGCGAACGTCCATCCCTGGATCTAGCGATCATCTACCAGTTTGTCTACTCCAGACTTCGCGTTGCGCCCCCCCCCCCCCGTGTCAACATGGCTGCCATGAGTGTACTGCAGCATGGTATCGACGGCCCCGAAGCGAACCTGCATCCTTGGGACTAATGTTCATCCACTTAGTGCGTCTACTCCAGAGCTTGGGTGACTCAGGAGGGGAACAAAAAAAACACACCGACACAATTCATCGTCGATTCCCCAGAAAATATGGGAAAATATGGGAAGTTGGGGGGAAGAAACAAACGTCACAGAACATATGGGGAAATATGGAGAATCCTGTTATTCGTATCTATTTCTTTGCGTGTCCCAGGGCCCCTTCAGTGACGCACCCACCCCTGTTTCCCTCCCTTGGCAAGGACGAGCGGACGCTGAAAGTGCAGCACGTTGCCCGTGGCGTGTGGTACTACAAGATCCCCCAGGTCGACGAGAGCAGGCGAGTCCCCGCCCCCGTCGTTGTCGTCGTCGTCGTCGTCGTCGTCGTCGTCGTCGTTGTCGTCATCGTTGTCGTCGTCGTCGTCGTTGTCGTCGTTGTCGTCGTACTTCCCGTCGTCGTCGTTGCCGCCAGGGAGGGAGGCATGGAGGTACGGAGGGAGGATGAGCGGAAGGAGGAGGAGGAGGAGGAGGAGGAGGAGGAGGAGGAGGAGGACCAGTGTAAGCCCAAGACGTATCAACGATGCTGGAGCGAATTCTCTTTTCAAGTTCCCTCTTCATCTGTCCCTGCAGCAATTTTTGTTCACTGCGGGAAGTGCACCGTTGCGAGACAGCCGTCTTATACCTCAATCGTGCCACAGCACCATTCTTGGCACTCCAACGCCGCGAATCGACGCTACTGCTGCGTCCTGCCTGAATCGTGCCAGAGCCCCATTCCTGGAAACTTCAGCTCCGCGAGTCAACGTGACTGTTGCGCCCTGACAGTCTTTATCTCGCCGGAGCACCATTTCTGGGACGTCAGCCATCAAATCTTTGAACGTGCTGTAAACTTTGCGACTGTGCGCGGCGCTGAGGCAAGAGCCGTTCTTTTGAAATGGAGCCGCTCTCCATCTTTGAAACTGTTCAGAATTCGAAGTTTCATGATCGTAAATGGTGAGGAAGTCTCAGGCGAGCCGCCCTGCCCGCCCTACCGACACGTCTCGGGGTGCGACAGGAAGGACTTACTGAATTGAACGCCCCTGAGAGGGCAGACGCCGCCGCCCCACCGTTTTCAGATCGTGGATTTTGGGAGGGAAGTGGAGATTGGGAGGGTGGGTGGAGGAACGCGAGGACGATTGGAGTGATCCCAGAGGACGAGAGGGGGTGGAAGACGGCCCCATAGGGTTTCCCAGAACGCGACCAAACTGGCAATTGACACGATCCCAGAGGGCGAGAGGGGAGTGGAGGACTGCCCCAGAGGGCTTCCAAAGACGCAGAACAATTGCTGAAGAGGGCCCCTGGAGCCTGCGAAAACAGCCCAAAAGGGCACCCAAGGGGGTGGAACACTACAGACGAAACCGAAGAGGGGTACGGAGAGGCTGAAAGGAGCAATGCCAGTTAGTTTTGGGTCCCTGGAAGGGGCCTCCAGGGACCCCCTGGGCGCGCCCAAGACCGCTCAGGACAGCGCCAAAATGGCGTCCAGACGGCCGAGGAGGGCAACGGCTGTCAGGACGGCCGCAGAGAGCATCCGCATGTTCCAAGATGGCCGCAAGAGCCCGCGGAGATACACGGGAGCTCGAAGAGAGGCGCCAGGAAGAGCCCGATAAGGGCAGAGTCGTCAGAATTCCACGCGTTTTCGTTTTTTTTTTTTTTTGCTGGGACTGCTGTTGGTGGCCCGAATGACCGAAGGAAGGTCAAGATCAGCCCAGAAAGTGCCCCGAGAGGCCCACAAACAGCCCTGAGAGTCCTCACGGATGCCTCTTAGTGTCTTTTCGGATGGCTCCCGGGGGGGCTCCCGAGAGGCAGTTTTAGGGGCTTTTTGGGGCCTTCTGCGGGGGCCTCCTGGGGCGCCTTGGATGCCTCTTAGGGCTCTTTTGGCGGCTCTTGGGAGCCACTTTGACCCTTTTAGGGGGCTCTTGGGGGCCGCTTGGGAGCCTTGCAGGGTCTATTGGGAGCTCCTCGGAGGCCTGGGGGGGAGGCTCTGGCGATGATTTGGAGGCCGAAGGCCTATTGAGAGCTCGTCGGAGGCCTGGGGGGGGGCTCTGGGGGCGATTTTGAGGTCGAACGTCTTCCTGAAGGTGGCTTGGGGCTCTCCAGCGTCGTCTTGGGAGAAACTTGGGCCGTCTGGGAGTCCCCGTGGGCCGCTTGGGGGCTCTCTTGGAGGCTTAATGGGCCGTCTTAGAGCGATCTCAGGGGCTTGTTGGTTCTGGGGCCGTCTTAGAGCGTCGGCGGCCGAAATGATGCGAGCGCTGCAAACTTGCAAAAACCATGGGAAAATTGTTGATTTTGCCTTTATGGTCTTGGAGGCATCTTCGGTCGTCTTGGAGGCGGTTGGAGCCGTCTGGAGGCTATCTCAGGCGTCTGGGAACGACTTCGGTGATTCTGGGCCCTCTTAGACCGCCTAGGGGGCCTCTTGGGATGCTCTTGAAGGCCCTGAAGGCAGCCCCCCGTGACGCGGACCGCCTGGCTGGCGGGTACTTCTCTTCCGGGGACCCCCAGCGGCAGCCACGCGCGCGCTGCGCGCGAACTAGAAGTACTCTAAAGCTGCTACCAGATCATTTAGCACGCCTTTGTCCCGTTGGGCCAGGGAATTTATCTGGAACAGACTTGTCCCGTTGGACTGGCGAATTTATCTGGAACAGACATTGAGGAGGAGGAGGAGGAGGAGGAGGAGGAGGAGGAGGAGGAGGAGGAGGAGGAGGAGGAGGAGGAGGAGGAGGAGGAGAGGAGGAGGAGGAGGAAGAGGAAGGAGGAGGGCTGAGGGAGGGAGGGAGGGAGGGAGGGAGGGAAGAGGAGTGAATGGAGAAGGAGTAGAATTTGGAGGGGGAGGAGGCGACGGAGGAGGAGGAGGAGGAGCAGGAGGAGGAGCAGGAGGAGGAGCAGGAGGAACAGTGTAAATCCAAGACTCATCAATGATGTTGAAATACACCTTTTCTCCAATATCCCTCTTCATAAGTTCCTACAAGGGATATTTTCAACAGGGAACTGCCCAGAGGGGGATCAACCGCGTGAACATCTTGAAGTGTGCCAGAACACCATTCTCAGGGCTTCGGCGTCACGAGTTGACCTGAATGTTACGTCTTGGCGATCCTGAATCGTGTCAGAACACCTTTCCTGCACTTCAACTCCGCGAATCAACGAACCTGTCGCACCCTGACAATCCTGAATCTTTGTAAAACACCGTTTCTGGTATTTTATCGTGAGAACCAGTGGAACTATTGCAAATGTTTCAGAACCAATGTGCGCGGCACTAAGGCGAGAGCCACATGTTGAAGGCGACCCGCCCTCAATCCGTGAAACTATTGCGAATGTTTGGAACTGATGTGCGCGGCGCTAAGGCGAGAGCTACATTTTTCAAACCACCCGCCATCCACTTGTGAAACAGTTGTCAGTGCTGAAGCATCAGGTTCATACATGGTGAGGCAGTCTCAGGCGAAACGCTTGGCCCGCCCTTTCGATCGGCCTCTTGTTGCAATAGGGAGGAGCTATACATGAGTAAAAGGAATGGAGGAGGAGGAGGAGGAGGAGGAGGAGGAGGAGGAGGAGGAGGAGGAGGAGGAGGAGGAGGAATATAAGTTCTGGAGTTCCGTGTGTGGCGACCAGAGACAAAAACTTAAACGCTGGATTTCTGCTTCTTCGCTAGCTCAGCTTTGCGATGGCTTTAAGCCAGAGCCCCTTGGAAATCCGAGCGAGGTAATCGGAGCGATTACCCTGAACCCTACCAACACACGGCTTTGCTAGTTACTTCAGTTGCTGAGCTGCATTGAACCCGCACGCTAAACAGAATCAGACCCCCAGTCCCGCGTGATGTCTCAGTTCACGGCTTGGATCGGGAAATCCCCAGCGATATGCACCCGCCGCCCAGAGGGACTTTCGAACATAATACCGTCCACATTAATTAGCTCAACGCACGAGGAGGGTCGCCAGTCCTTGCGCTCCGCGTTGGTGGCTGTACCCTTGCTCCTGCTACACTTCCTGTCATTCGTGTCACAGATCACGTGCTCAGACGGGAGGAAGACACAGGCAAACGGAGCGGGATGCCTAGGCTGGGCACGACGGGCTGCCTTCCTACCTGGGCTCTTCGCATGCTCTTGCTCAACGGCCAGGGTCTCAATCGTGCTCTGGAGGAGCCTCACTCTGGCAAGAAAGGCCTCGTGTTCCGTGGCGGGAACACGTGTGCGACTGTTTTCTGGCATTTGGACTCGTCCGCTCCACGTGTGGCGAAGGCGTCAGCCATGGCATTGCCCGAGGCCAACAGCTTGGGTGCCTTTCCCTGTAGCACGTCCGAGGTCTCGAGGTGCGAGTGGACGAACAGCATCGTGCACTGCTTCTCGGGATGGTCGGCGAGGTGCACGCCGATCTGCCACCGCAAGTCACTCTCGGGTCCTCCTGGCTGCTTATAACGCTGGTTGTACCAGCTGATGATGACACTCAGAGTGTCATCACCGGCTGGTACAACCAGCGTTACTTTTGGCGGTTTTGCTTTTGACAGCTGTCGACGAATGCTGCTGGGAGCACGCAGCACTCGGCTGTGGCAAAGAGTCGATGTGCGGCGGCGCAGGCTGACGTGCCCTCAGCGCGATGATGAATGTAACACTTGTTCTCTTGTTGTCTTGGTGGTGGTGATTGCGACGGCCGCGGCGATGTTTGGTTCAAAATGGATGCTCGCCGGGGGGCGTTGCAGGCGGGCCTGCGCGCCCAGCATTGCATACTCGCAAACAACAAAAAAATACCGCGCAACTCTTTTGGAATTCGGCGGCTATTTCGGGGGTCGTGGTGGCTCCAAAGCATGGTCCTCGGTGACACTCTCATTGTCTGTGGTGTGTACCATGTGTCCTCTGCTGCCGCGCAGCGCTAGAAGAAAGACGAGACGTTCTCCCCTGGCTGCTGTCTGGCGTGGCCCCGGTAAACCTTCCTATGTCCTCATTGAGGTCGCGGAAACATGCGAGGCCGCATCCTACACGACGTAGTGTCGGGATCTTGCTCCCAGTTCCGCCGCTGGCGTTCCCGAACACGTATATTGGGTGCTCCTGCGTGCCTGCCCCGAAGCAGCCGTCAGCGAAGTCCTCGCTTATCGTGCTCCGGGACCCGACACTCTGTGGAGCCTCCACTGCAACCCGTATTGCTGGGCGGTGGCCTTTCGTCCAGAAGCAAGCGTCTGTCTCCCCCTGCGCGTAGGCTTCACCAACGCAGTGCTCCGTCAATTCATACACATCGTGCCGAGCTCGACCTTCGCAGGCCTACACACGATGAAAGGCAGTCTCTCGGTGTCCTCGGCAACGTAGGCAATCTTGTGACACTTCGTGCGTGGAGCGTTCCTGCCGTTGTGCCCGTGGCCATGTGGCTCCAACGGCAATTGCCAGCATGAGGCCTGCAAGTGTGCGTCCTCCTGGGGCGCCTTCAAGCTGCTGGAGTAATCTGCGATATGACCGAGTGCAGACTCCTCCTTCAAGACCTGACCCTTCGTGATGTTGAGCAGCGCGCTGCCGCAGGCTGGCATGGACCGTCTGCTCGTACTCGTCGAAGAAGGCGCTGGGTAAGTCGATGTTTTCGACGCGTGTGCGGTTGTCGGTGGAAAACTGCCAGGTATGCTCGACTCCGTCACCAGTACTGGGTGTGACCCAGCTTGTCGGTGAATATGGTCGCCATCCTGCGTGCAATAAATAAATGATCACAGCTCCTTGCTGCTCTCGAACATGCCGAGTGGGCCTGTGGGGTTGCTGCAAGTTCTCGGGCAAGGGTTGGCCATGTGCATGTGATGCCATCGCGGCTGCTCGCCTGACGGACCCAGCAAGACAACTATATTCGCAAGCGTTCCCTCGGTAGCTTGCAAGCAGCGTCTCTGCCTGCAGCTTTGAGATCGATGAGCGTGGTCAAACAGCGTCCTGCCATCCGACACTGTGTCATAGCGTTTCTGAACGCACCCTGCAGTTTTTGCCCGTACGCTCCTGCAGCTTGTGCCCTCATGTTGCTCTAGCCTCGATGTGAGGCCTTACCGTCGAGTCGCTCGTACATATGTGACAACACGGTGGTGCATGGTATTGCGTTTGGCTTGTCGCGCAGACCGACATGCATGAGGGTGCCGAGAGCCATCTCCAAGATCCGCTCCCAGGTATGGCGCTTGTGGCACCGCACGTGCAGAAAACCTTTGTGTTCGTATTCGCTTTGCGATGCACTTGGCGTCATCTAGCGTCGTGCACACAACAACGCTTTTGGGGTGACATGGAAAGCCCAGCCCGCTGCATCGATCGACATGTGTCGGCCAGGCATCTTACACGCTAGTTGCGCATCGTCTCTCTTGTACTCTTCATCGAATCGACTGGCTGAGGTCGTCGATCCACATCCTCTGCGACATGTCCACGTGCACCGTCGTCAGCTCCTGCATGATGTGGTACGTGGCACAGTTGGCGAACCTGGTGCCTCCGCGAAGGCCTTGCACCACCGACCGAAGTGGTGCAAATGGCTGTGAGTATGTGCCAGACCGCCGCAAACACCGAGCCCCCTTGCACTGCATCAGCTCCAACCCTAGGACTTCCGCGGGGAAGTCGAGCCGCATCGAAGAGGAGGAGGAGGAGGAGGAGGAGGAGGAGGAGGAGGAGGAGGAGGAGGAGGAGGAGGAGGAGGAGGAGGAGCAGGAGGAAGAGGAGGGGATGTGGGCAGCGAGGGGCCGTTTGATCGCAGGTCCCAGAAGACGTGGCTCGAGTGGCGGCAGAGCGCGCAGGAGTTCGTGGACGGCGATACCGATAACCGCAAGTACATCGTTCCGCTGCGTACCAGCCGCGGCAAGGCTGGCGGTCTGAACTTCGTGGAGAACTATCGCAAACGCCTACGGCGAACCATCGCCGCCCACTGCCGTTGGGAAGCGCCCGTGTGGCCAAGCGTTGGAGCCGAAGTCTGACCAAGCTCTTGGACAATGTGCTCCCCCAGCCGCTGTAAAACAGATGGGGAAACACCTGGGGAAGGAAGAGACAGAAACGAGGAGGCGAGGGAGGAGACGAAGGACGAGGACGAGGAGGCCTCTTTGGGCCCTCTTGGGGGATCCCTGGGGGCCTGCGGGTCTCCGAGTGGCCTGCTGGCTGCCTGTGTGCCTGCGCTGGGTGCCTGCGGCAGTTCTGAGCTGACGTGCCAGTGCCGTATGCAGCCGTGCCTTGCGCGGGGCCGAGGGCCCGTGCTGCAGCACCGCTGTGGCCGCCGTTGGCTTCGAGGTCGCCCCCCCGCCCCGAGAGAGGTACAGAAAGAGAGAGAGAGAGAGAGATAGAGAGAGATGAACATCTCTCGCTCTCTCTCGCTCTCTCTTCCTCTCTCTCTCTCTCTCTTCTCTCTCTATCTCTCTCGATGTATGTTTGTACATGTGCGTATTCACATGGGAGGTTTTCGTTTGTTGCCGCTATATGGGTTTTGTTGTGGAGTGTTCCCAAGTTGCCCAGCCGGTGCTGGGGGGCACGGTTGTGGTAAGATCGGGTGCCGTCCGAAGGTCTCGAGCGTCGAGACATTCTCGAGACGTTAAGATGAGCCCGCCCGCTTCGCTTGAGGCATCCTTCCAAACCCGTTTTCCGAGATGACCAGATCTGAGATGGTTTGGCTCGCTTCGCTTGAGACATCGTCGCAACTCTGGGCGCCAAGATGTCGCGCGAGAGGTGGTCCGGCCCATTTCGCCTGAAACATCTTGGACATTTTGGTTTCGTAGATGCCGTGACCTGAGGTGGCCCTGGCCGTTTCGCTTGAGACATCCTCGCAACTCTGGGCCTGGAAATGCCGCCCGCGAGGCGATTTGGCCATATTCGCCTGAGACATCTTCGCAGCTCTGGGTACAAAGATGTCGCGTGCGAGGTGGTCCGGCCAGTTTCGAATGAGACGACCTCGCAATTCTGATCAACTGCAAAGGAGGAGTGCGAATAGGAGGAGAAGGGGGAACGAGGGGGAGGAGGAGGAGCTTAGGAGAATGAGGAGGAGGAGGAGGAGGAGGAGGAGGAGGAGGAGGGATAATGCTCGCGTTATAGTCAGGCAAGTACGTGTTGTCGATGCTTTCGGTCCACTCCTCGTCGCCAGGGCTGGCCGCGGCTCGTTCGTGCCTTCTGATACGGGCCAGTGCTTTGCCGACCAAGGGTGTTTCACGGGCCAGTTCGCGCCCGGATTGCGGGGATCTCTCGGACGGCCCCTTTGTTTCAGGAGGTTGGCGTGTGTGTGTGTGTGTGTTATCAGAGTTGCATGGTCCTCGCTGGCCACTTTTGCTTGCTTTGGGGCTGTTATGGACCCCTCCAGGACTTTCATTGGCTGGCGTAGGGGGCCAGGTTACCTGAGCTTGGATGGCCTGGGTCGCTGGGAGCAGCCCCAGGCGACCCCGGCAAGCCCAACGGCGGTGCGAGGTAGTTGCTGGGGAGGGGTTGCCTTCAAAAGAACTCGGTGCGCTCCATGGCCCACAGAGGCTCTGGCCAATTTCACTTTAGACTTCCTCGGAACCCTGGGCTCCGAGATGCCTTCACTTGAGATGCTCTGGTCCGTTTCGCCTGAGACGTTCTCACACCTCCTGTTTCCAAGATGTGGTCGTTGAGGTGCCCAGGCCCGTGCCGCCTGAGACATCCTCGGACCCCCTGGCTCCGAGATGCCCCGACTTGAAGTGCGCTGGCCCGTTTCGCCTGAGACATCCTCGCACTTTCGGGTTCCAACATGCGGTTCGCGACATGCTCAGGCGCGTGTCGCCTGGGACATCCTCGGGCCCCCTGGCTCCGAGATGCCCCGACGTGAGGCACTCTGGTCCGGCTCGCCTGAGACATCTTAGGTCCTCGGAATTCTGAGTCCGATCGCCAGGGCCGAGCGATTCGGGGGATGCCAGCCCATCCCTGGGAAGGCTCTTTCGATACACATCGGTTTTCTAAGGAGCAAAGGCCTGTGCGAGCATGTGCGGATGGACCGTTGCCTCCCTTATTAGGGATTATCGGTTATGTTCTCGTGGGCCCGCCATATGTATGTATGCATGCATGCATGTACGCAAGTCTGTATGTATGTATACATGTCTGTCTTTATGTCTGTATGTATGCATGCATGCATGTCTGTCTGTTTGTCTGTATGTCTATACGTCTGTACGCATGAATGCATGTATGAATGTATGCGTGCACGTATGTCTGTATATGCGTACGTACGCGTGTATGTATGCATGTATGCATGTATGCATGCATATGTGTATGTATGCACGCGTCCATATATGCATGTCCATATGTATGCATGCATGCATGCACGTACGCATGCGTGCATGCATGCATGGCTGAATTTATGCATGTATGGAGGTATGCATGTATGTTTGTGTCCATGTGTGCATGTATGTATGCATGCATGTATGTACGCCTGTATGTATGCATGCATACATGCCTGCATGCATGTATGTGTGTACGTACGTATGCAGGCATGCACGCAGCATGAATTTGCAATGTATGTATGTGTGTATGTATGAATGTATGTACGTACGTATGTATATATGTTTGAGTGTGCATGCATGCATGCATGCATTCATACCTGTATGTGTATATGCATGTATGTATGCATGCATGTACGTATGCATGTATGTATGTCTGCATGTATGTGTGTGTATATATGTATGTATGTATGTATGTATGTATGTATGTATGTATGTATGCATATGTGTAGGCATGTCTTTTCACACATATACTACATGCAGTTAGGTATGTATGCATGCCTGTCTGCCTGTCTGTATGCATGCCTGCCTGCATTTATGTATGCATGTATGTACGTATGCATGTATGCACGCACATACATACGTGCGTATGCATGCGTGTACGTGTGAATGGGTGTATGTATTTCTGTTTTTCTGCGTGCATGTATGTATGTGCGCATGCATGTATGCATGTCTGTATGCAAGATTGCACGCATGCATGCATATATGTATGCATGTATGTATGTATGTACGTACGTATGTATGTGTGCATTCATGTATTAATGTGTGTATGCAGATATGTATGTATGCATGTATGTATGTATGTATGTATGTACGTACGTACGTACGTACGTAAGTACGTACGTGTGTATGTATGTATGTATGTATGTATGTATGTATGCATGTATGCATGTGTATTCGCACCCGTGTATTTATAATCAAGCACTTCTATGTCGGTAGGAATGTCGGTCGGCCCGTGTAAATATATGTATAGATATATAGAAACAAGACCTGGCAAACATTGAGGGGTGTAGGGACCGTGCTCAACACATACGCGCTGGCAACGCGTGGCTGGAGCGCGCTCCGAGTGAAGTCCAGGCTGTTGTAATTTTTGGCAGTCCCCTCCCCCAGTCTCCAGATCGATCCACTATGCATTAGATCTGCCTGTCTGAGGGCAAGGAAGGCCGTACCTTGTGAGTCGATCTTCTTGAAGTCTCCCCAGCCCAGATCATGCCGATACTGCCACACCATGTGACAGGTGCATCCCCAGAGCCAGTGGCCGTGATTGAGGCCCAGCGTGGCCTGGTTGGAACCTCCTGGGGCTCTTGGAACCTCTTGCGGCCTCGCGGCGGGGAGGAGGAGGACCAGCGGACAGCATTGAGGGACGCGTGTTTCTTCAAGGGTGACGTCTGCCTCCTGGACGCCTCTCGGGAATTCTTGGGGGTTCCCTTGGGCCTCCTGGGCTTTCCTGGGCTGTCTGAGTGGGCCTTTGGGCAATTTCGAGAACGTCTCTGGGGCGCTCCTGTCTAAGGGCTATCCTGGCTGTCTGGGGAGCGTCTTGGACAGACCCGAAACCGTTGGTGATGCTAGGAAGGCGTCTGTGTGTGTGCGTGCACGCAGAGAGACCTGGTGAGGAGGGGGCTTCAGAACATATAGAAGCCCAGCCGCGCAGCACACGCGCAGCCATTTCAATTCCATTGACGACGTGCCGGGGAGCACGGCGGCGGATCTCTTCGACTACTCCTGCAGGCAGGAAATGGAGGAAGTGCGGCCCGAGGCAGTGGATGGTGAGCAGCCGCCTGAAGAGAGGTTCAAGTACAGCCTCTTTGGAATCGCTGATGCCCGCCATCAATTCCAGCCCGACTTCATGCAGGAGACAATCCCCTTCTTTTTCATGAAGAAGTCCAACAAGGTGAACCCCAGAGTTGCCTTCACCCAGTGCCCGCAGTACTTCCCCGAGATGCCCGACGAGGTTGACTACCTGGACACCAACAATTCAAACTTCTTCCGCATGAACTGCATGTTGCGTAATTGCTGCGGCGGCGTGTCTTCCTGTGGTACTGGCGGAACGTGGCTCATCCGTGACAGGCGTGCAGGTATCAAGGGTACAAACAGTATTTGGGAGATGGACTCCATCGAGTGGCGCCGCCAGGGCTTTCATCAAATCTTCGAGCACCGCTTCTTCCACGAGAGTTGCAAAGTTGAAGACACAGCGTCCAGTCTTGACCGCGTGGTTAAGGGTAAGCACTCCCAGTACATCAACAGGCGCCTCGCCTACGGCATGGCCAAGGATCCAGTTGACTACTTGGCCGCAGTACAGCGCTGGGCAGAGGGTGGCGTCGTCCTCTCGTTGCAGACCTTTATGGGCTGCGAGCAGGGCATCCACATGATTTGGATGACATTCCTTCTCTTTCTGAGCTTCCTGGGGTCCCTGCTAGTTATGGCGTATGGGTCCTACGCACCGCTGTTCCGCCTCATCAGTGAGACGCTGCTGGGAGACGACTCGTTGCTGACATTCTACCAGGACTTTGCAAACGCTCAGGCGGAGTGGTGCGTGCAGAACGGGTTTGCGATTGCCTTCGCTCAGGCGCAGTGGCTGGAGATATTCTTGCAGGTGGAGCTGTGGCTTACCTTGGTCTTCATGTGTGTCGTTGTCATTATGATAGTAACAACGATCTCTTACATGTTTCACCACACCACGTGTGGCGGCCGTAAACGGAAGCAGCGCCGGACCCGGTTTCCAGTCTCTATGGCGCAGTGGGCACGCCTTGCCATCACCATGGACAACCTTACGTACTTCCTGTGGTTCTGGACGGCGTTCTTCTGGGTGTTCTTCAACTACTACACGGTCTTCTTCCCCAAGACTTACGTCTTCGAGCCACAGGGTATGATGGTCTTCTCTTGGATTGTCCAAGCCTTGAGCTGGTCCTTAGTTATATCTGCGACCATGAGGTATAGGATGGATCAGAGCATGGCAGCCAACGAGGTGTTCTTCCTGAGCCTTACGAACATCTGGCGTACCACCCAGCTGTTCTACATTACCGCCCCGCTCACACTGTACTCGATCCTTATGGGAATTTCAGACTTCCTGAAGAATCGGATGCTTGGCATTGACATCAGCTACTGGGTGGGAGGAGATCGTGGTGCGGTCTCGAAGGCCATCACTCAGTACTGGACCCTGCTGCTGGTTTTTGGCGGCATCATCACCAACATTCTGTTCTGGGTTGGCTTGACGCCTCACGCCGAGTTCATCAACATCCTCATTGTCACGTTCATCGCCCTGGATGTGCTGCATCCCTGCTGCTTCCTATGGTTCGGCAACAGTCCCGAGAACCTCCCAAAGGCTCGGTCTGACGCTTCGCGCATCCCATACAGTGGAAACGAGTGCCCTGGGTTTCTTCTGCTTCGATTGTTTTTCTATTGAAGTGTGACATTCCCACACTAGTAGTCCATGGACGTCCGGGGGTCTCAGGGTTGGATTTCCTGTTGCAGATATCCTGTGGACTGGCCTCCACTGTACGTACGGCCCATGCCGACACGCTGTTCAGGCGAGTTCGAGGGGAGCCGAAAGGGGGGATTGGCTCAGGGGGAGGAGGCATGCCCATGGAGTCGACGATGCGTCGCCGACAGATCGGCGACGTGCCCCTCACCGGGGAAGAAGCCCAGCGCTCCCGGGCAGGCCGGAGAGCCCCGGGCCCCGGGGTCGGCGAGGCGAGGCAGGGGCGACCGGGGGCGGAGCCCCCCCCCGCGTCGGCACCCCCGAGATCGGCGAGCCAGTCTCCCCGCGTCGGCACCCCCGAGAGTTGTCACGAGCATGGAAGGGGGCGAACGTTCTCCGAGGCTCATGATGATCCAACCTACTCTAGCCTGGATCACCAGAAAGAATTTCGAGCACCAAAGAAGGACCGAAACTCGAGGTCTTCACGTGTCGGGCCCTGGGAGAGACACTCGTTCGACACTGCTTCGACATTTGTTTTACACTTTTCCGGGTGCTCGAAATTATTTCTGGGATGTGTTCCTTGAGTGCGATGGGAGCAAGATAATCCGAGGCAGGAATTTCTACATGACCACCGCCTGGAGGATCAATTTTGGGGAACCTCGGCAGGCGGTGGATCTGGATATGTTCGGGCCCCCCGGGGGCAACATATATCCATATCCACGCCGGTTCCCAGGCGGTGGATATGGATAAATCCCCGCATCGCACATTCGTGAATCTGAGAGGGGTGGGCACAAGTCGATCCAACGGATATACCCTCCCAGCCCCCCCCCTCCAAGTCCAGCCCGGGGCCCTCTGGTGCCTGCTTTCTGAGGCTTCTGGGAGCCACTGTGGGGCTCTTCTGGGATCCTATTGGGAGCCTCCTGGCCTCTCTGGGGTTCTCTTGGGTCCTTTAGGTTTTGTTTTGCCTTTTGTCTTCCTGAGGCCACCCTGGAGGCGAACGAAAAGGGGAGGTCCTGATCTAATAGTATTCTGTGGATCCGAAAACTGGCCTCGAAGGGTGCTTCTGGGACTCTTTTGGGGTGCTCTTGGGTAGGGTTTTTTGGGTCTCTCTCGTGGCCCTCGTTTGCCAGACTGGAATTGTCTTGAGACCTCGCAGGTCCATCTGAACACGAGGGGGCGAGACGGCGAGACTCATCGGGCGTTTTTGCTTTCGGCTGATTTGGTCATCTTGGTGCCATATTGCAGGCCGTCTGAGCCAACTCATGGCCGCTCTGGCCCAGACCCCAGGGAGGGTCTTCCCCTGAAAGGGAGGGTCGGTCCCCCTCGAGCGATCCGCAGGCGGAGCCATTGCGCTCGCGATCTTGGCTTGGACCAGGAGTAGGCAAGGCAGGTCTCCAAGACGTCGCCATTTGATGCCATGTTGGCCCAGCATGGCCTCCAGCATGGCCTCAATCTGCCAACATATGGCCTCAATATGGTTATCCTCAGAGGGGCCCACGCCATTTTGAACATACTCTTTTTCCTTTGGTCTTGGTATTGTCTTGACTTTTCCGCGGGCCTCTGAGGCCTGACGATGGTCTGACTTCATAACGGGCTCTAAGATCACCCTAAGAGCATCATACCAGCATGACGGAACGAGAGAGGTACGAGTGATGACGTTCTGGTGGGGCGAAGCCCTCTAACCCTCTAAGGAGGGGTTACAGGGGAGGGACGAAGCGGGACGACGCCCTGGTAACACTCCTGGGATGGGCGAAATGGGACCCCCAAGACGGCCCAAGATACCCCTAAGACTTTTCCAGAGAGGTCCGAGGCGGCTCCGAGCTGGCCGAAGAGAGTTCCAAGAGAGCTCCAGACCGCCCGAAAGCGTTCCAAGATGTCATGATATTACCTTAACATTGTCCAGGAGGGCGCCGAGACGGAAAAACTAGGCCTTCAAGAGGACGTTCAAGAGGGCTTAAGGAGGCCAGCAACATAGTTTTTGTTCCGTAGTCGTTCGAAGGTTGTCCCAAGACCGCCCACGAGAGCCCCAACACGGCCCACGAGGGTTCTACGACGACTCACGAGGGCCCAAAGACGGCCCAAGAGGCCCTCAAGAGGACCCCCAAGAGGGCTTGAGGAGACCAGCAACACAGCTGTTGTTCTGTAGGCGTTTGAAGTGGTTTTGGGGTTCTCGCCTTTTCTGGCTTCCGACGGCCCAGGGCGGCCCAAGAGGCCCCCAAGATCGCCCCAATACGGTCCAATAGGCTCTCAAGAGGGCCCCAAGACAGCCCAAGAGAGGCCCAGAGCGGCCCAAGAGGGCTCGACGACGACCCACGAGGGCCCCAAGACGGCCCAAGAGGCCTTCAAGAGGACACCCCACAGGGCTTGAGGAGACCAGCAACGTAGTTGTTGTTCTGTAGATTGTTTCTTTGAGCACTGTTTTTAGGGTTCTCGCTTCTTCGGGCTTCCGACGGCCCAATGCGGCCCAAGAGGCTCCACAGATCGCCCCAAGACGGCTCAAGAGGCTTTCAAGAGGGCCCCAGAACGGCCCAAGAGAGCCCCAGACCGGCCCAAGAGGGCTCCATGACGGAACAAGAGGGCCTCAAGACGGTTCAAGAGGCCCTCAAGATGACCCACACGAGGGCTTGAGGGGGCCATCAACGTCGTTTTTGCCCTGAGTCGTTTGAATATTTGTATGGCTCTAGCCTTCTCGGGCTTCCGACGGCTCAAGACGGCCCCCGAGGCCCCAACGATCGCCCAAGACGGCTCCCCCCAAAAAAGACGGCTCCCCCAAGACCGCCGAAGAGTGCCCCAAACGGCCCACCACGACGACCCACGAGGGCCCCTAAGACGGCCCAAGATGCCCTCAAGAGGGCCTCCAAAATGGCTTAATGAGGCCAGCAAGACGGCCCAAGAGGGCTCCACGACGGCCCACAGGGCCCAACGAGAGCCTACCCAAGAGAGCCCCAATGACCCACCACGTCCAAGGTCCCCCAAGACGTCCCAAGACTGCCCGAATGGCCTCCAAACGGTCCAAAAGGGCCCAGACAGGACCCCAAAGAAGGCCCAGAGAGGCCACATTCATTCCAAAGAGCGAGCGGTGACGTAAAACAGAACTTAACACCAAGGCTCCCAGGATCGAACGGTAACGTGAATCAGCTTGCAACGTACAGGCTCCCAAGAGCGAGCGGTGACGCAAAACGCTTTGAACGGCAAGGCCACCAAGAGAGAACAATGACGTAACAAACTCTGACCGCCAAGGCTCCCACGAGCGAGCGTTAATCTGAAAAGCTCGTACGGGCAATACCACCACGAGCCCGTGGTGACTTGAAAAGCTCTTAACACCAAGGCTCCCAAGAGCGAGTGATGATGCTCAAAACTTCGAATGCAAAGGCTCCCAAGTGCGAACAGTTACGTACTTCGCTTTGAACGCCAAGGCCCCAACGAGCGAACGGTGACGTAAACAGCTTTGATGACCGAGGCCCCCCAGGAGTTCGCAGTGACATGAAGCAGCTCTTAACACCAAGGCCTCCAAAAACAAACAGTGACGCAACGAGTTCTGAACGCCAAGGCTCCCAGGTGTGAGCAGTGCCATGAGCCATCTCGGGCAATTTTCTGACGCGCTCGTTCCATTTCCATGCCGGCCTGGGCTCTAACACGCCCCACTATGATGTTGGAATGGTGTTGGATGATTGTGATGGTGGCGGTGATGATAATGACGAGGATGATGAGGATGGTGGTGGTGATGATGGCGACGACGGGCGCACACCAAAGCTCGTGATACACTGGACGACGGGCTGGAAAGTATACGATGACTGCGACAGTGTACGCGACGATGCAACCGGGCCAGGCTGGACATCAAGATGGCGCCCCACCGCGAGCTCAACCAGGAGCTGGAGGAGGCGATCCGCACCAATAGGGAGGACACGGCGTGGCGTATCAGTTTTCAGATTGCTGGAAATGGGCTGGCGCTACGAAAGCGGAATCACTACATCTTACCAGATGTGCGGCCAGATTTGCGGACATGGACGGAGGACTTGGCCCTATTTGGCAGTGAATGGGGGATGGAAACGACACCTGTTACGACCGAGGAATGTATCTCCACCGCGTCGGCCCAGTATTATCCGGTTCACCCCAACATGGATTTTTGGGAGGTGGCGAACAGTAGCCTGATGGAGTCATACAGCTGCTGCGCAGAGGACGACGTCGACGGGCAGCCCCGTCATGGTATATGCCGACGGAGGTGTGGGGCATGCTACTTTCGTGCCGAGCACCGCGACGAGCAGGAGAAGATCGACCATCAGTTGCGGGACCATTCTTACAGGTGTTCCTACTGGCACGGCTGGTGCGGATACGGCAGCTTCGGAGAGTCAATGCGTGGTGGAACATACGTATCAGGTGAGCAAAACGAATCGCAAGCCGAGGACACGAGGCACGCGGCTACTCCACGGATCATGCAGTTTGGAAAGGCATGGGTGGGAGCACGACGACCACGAGAAGGACTGCGACCACCAGCAGAGGACCGTGGATATGTACGGGGCCATTCGCGTGTGGGTGCGCCGACGGTTGGCAATGTATTGCAGTAGCGACTACGAGAGGCGGTCCTGAGCCACATCGCCACTAAGCAGGACATGACGAACGCGTTCGCTAGCGTCTCTCACCAGCACTTGGACTACACAGTACATCAGATGTATCGGGAGAGGGACGTGGATATCACGCTTACGCGCCATCGCAACACAGCATGCGTTGTTCAGGCGTACGCGGGCACAGGCACGTATCCGAATAGAGTGGGCTGTTTCATGGGCGACGCAGGTGCAGCTGCGAAGTTCCGACTGGCGTTCGAGACGCCCACGCGAGAATGGCGGGGAGATTTCATTTCCCGCCGCGACAGCGCACGAGATGATCGCAGGCTGCGCCGTTGCCCGAGAGAGCTGCGACCTGGGAGCGAGGAGGTACGCCGATGACACCACATGTACCCGCATCGCCTCAGACGCGTGCAGTGCAACCCTACTGGTTGGACCTTCTGGTCGGCATCTAGACGCCGCCCTGGGGCGAGTTGGCCTCGCCCAGAGCCGAGAGAGACAAGCAATCAGTCCTTGTTTCGTGGATCGTGGGCCCCAGAGGTCTGCCCGAGCGCTGCGCTGCCACGAGGTCCCCATATCGGGGGAGGTCCAGGCCATGTCGGTCTCCTTTGGAGCTCGCGTGCATACCTCGGGACGAAACGACGAGGAGATCCGAGCGTGCGAGTGGGCTGGCGGGGGATGGGGAAGTTCTGGAATTCTAGACGCTTCGCGTATCCCCACCCGCCCGTCCAGAAACGACGCCCAGGCGAGTAGAGGGTCGTCCTGAGGGTTTTTTCAGCTTCTTGGGTGCCTCGGGGGGGCCTCTTTGGGCCGTTTGGGATTCTCTTGGGGGCCTCCTGGGGGCCTCTTGGGGCCATTTTGGGGCCATCTTGGGGCCTCTTGGTGCCTCCTGGGCGCTTCTTGGGGCCATCTTGGAGGAAATCGATCAAAGAAGAGGGGAGCTTTCATTAGCGCTGCCCCCTTCAGAAGGCCAAAATGGGGCCAAAACCTTAGTAACATCAGTGATTTTGGCTTCAAAGAAGAGGGGAGCTTGAATTAGCGCTGCCCCCTTCAGAAGGCCAAAAGGGGGCCAAAACCTTAGTAAAATCAATGATTTTGGCTTCAAAGACGAGGGGAGCCTTAATTAGCGTTGCCCCCTTCAGAAGGCCAAAAATGGGGCCAAAACCTTAGTAAAATCAATGATTTTGGCTTCCTCGGCGAGGCCGTTTTGGACGCTCTGACCGCTCCCCGCCCCTCCTGTCCAGGTCAGTGGGGAGGAGGTAGGGGGAGGGGTAAACCCTTCCCCCGAGGGGAAGAAGGAGGGGTGGAAGAGGAAACTCGTTAAACCACCGACGCCCTAAAGGGCTGGTGGGATTCCTGTCAAGTTTTCTCTCGGAGGCGCATGGTGTTTCGGATTCGTATTCTCGGGGCTGCGCTGGCTGGTCTCGATTCGGGGGTCCTGGCGGTGGAACTGCCCAGGCGGCTCGACGCGGTCTCTACCAGATATGCTGTTGCGGTATGCCATGACATCGCCATTAACAGACAGCTGAACGCGGTGGGAGGGGATGGAGAGCGGTGGAAAGTCGCGTCTGTGTGCGCGGAATCCGGCTGGAAGCGGATCAAGGTGCCCCCACCGGGCGTCGAGCTGCGGATGCGACTTTTTCGCCGATTTCAGCGGCATGTTCAGGAGCTGGCTTCTTCGGACAGGTGGCGCTCGATAGCGCTGAGATTCAGACCTTTTCCTCGGCGCCTGTGTGCGCCCCGGCCGTGGCCCCCAGGGGCTGTGCGAGACCCTGGGCTGTGCAGTTCAAGAACGACTTGTTTCTTGGGGAGGCTTCGAGCGGGGCTGGATTTCCTGGAGGACCTCGCCGGTGACCGCGCGCGGGTCTTCCTGGCGCCCGCGCGGACGGACAACATGTGTTTTTCTGTGTTTCTCCATCCTCTTGCTCCCCATATTGACGTTGCGCAGCTGCGAAAACCTTGGCCTGGGCGCCCCGCGGTGACCGCGGCGCGGCAATGCGAGGATCAGGAGTGGTGCCCTCCGAACGCACCAGAATCACGCAGGAGGGGAAGAGCGCGGCAAGTTATGTTCCTATGCGCGTCTGAAGGTGACCAATCAGTGCCCCTCGTCCTTTCGACGTTCGCGTGTCGCCGCTCTGCCAGTGACCGCGTCGCGCCGGCTTATCGGCGTGGGAGGTGCATCGCAGACCGCTCAGTCTACAATCATCCCTTTGTCCCCCCCCCCCCAGCTATTTGATTGCCCCGAGAAGAATTGTGGCGCGGAGTTCGACGACCCGCCTCTCTTCGGAAGCATGTCAGAATCATGACTGCGGCAGTCGCCCTCTGGAACCACGGCCTCGCGTCGCGGGCGCAGGGCCGGGCGTTGGGGTCGGCGGGTGGGCGGGGGGGGGGGGCGACGCTGAGGGCCGCGCGCGGAAGGCAGCTGGGGGAGGTCGCGCAGGCTGTGCGGGCGCAGCAAACGGCGGCCAGGAGAAGGCTCGAACGACCAGATGCCGAGTTAGAAGGGCGCCAACATAGCGGGCCTGAGCGAGCTCGACGACGGCGAGGTGGGCGTAGCCAAGGCGCAGGAGCGTTTCCCAGTGATGGCGCGGCTGCTGCTGAACCTGGCCCAGCGGCAGCGATGGATCGAGTCGATCGAGTTGACGGCGTTCATCGCGTCGTCGGGATTGTAGCCGGCAGCGAAGGCAACGGGGCAAGCGCGCGCGTGGATGCGCGCAGCAGAAGGCAGCAGGGCCAACAACAACAAGGAGCAGAGCGACGAGAAAATCAAGTAGATGGGCACGATCTCGGCGGCGTGCTAGCCGAGGGGCGCGTGCGAGGGGCTGATCGCCGAGGGCAGCGCGGCTGGGCGAGTGAACCAGCAGAACCTCGAGGCCCTGGCGAGCGAGCAGGCAAAGCTGACGGTCGCCGAGGCGAAGATCACGGATTGCTGCGAGAAAGGGGAGCCGAATCTGTTACTAGCGTTCGGCGGCAGAGTGAACGCGGCGCCCGTGCTGGACTTGCTGACCCAGGCGGGGGCAGACTGCCAGCCGGGAGTGGCCCCGATGGGCCACCTCGACAGATTGATCCACACGGGGCTCCAGGAGCTCGACGGGGCGATGTTCGACTGAACTTAGAGGAGATGGCCTTCGAGAGGCCCGAGGCGAGACGACGACACTTTGGGATGGTAAGTCGGCTGTGCCAGGCTGCCCTAAAGAGCCCAGGGGACCCCTACTCCTCCTCCGCTTTCGGATTCCCCCGCTCCTCCTCCTCCTCCTCCTCCTCCTCCTCCTCCTCCTCCTCCTCCTCCTCCTCCTCCCCCTCCTCCTCCTCCTCCTCCTGCTGCTGCTGCTGCTCCTCCTCCTCCTCCTCCTCCTCCTCCTCCTCCACCTCCGAATGAGTCGCGTAGATTGCGGGGGGGCCGTTCGCGGAATTCCTGGCCTCCGAGGAGGCCTGCCTCGGTGCCAGGGGCCCGTGCAGCTTCGAGTCGCGCAGTCTTGGTCAGAGCCCAGAGGGTTTCAGTGTTTTCAGAGAGTTGGAGCACGGCCGATCAGGACGCTGCTCTTAGGCTTCTGTTGGGCGCATTGCGGCAGTGACTGCGAGCACTTGCGGGCCGCGAGGTGCACGGTCGCGCATCGCATATTTCTGCTCAGGGGTAACCCGATCCTAGAGGCATCCGAGGGCGTGGGATCGACGACGCCGCTTCCGATGAGCTCGCGTCCGTATTCGTATATTATTGATTCTGCTAATGCCAATTTTCTTGTGATGCTGACGATGACGATGACGATGGTGATGGCGATTATGATGCTGCTGTCGGTGATGACGGTGGCGACTTCGATGGTGGCGATAATGAGTGCCGGTGAGGATGCTGATGACGGTGAGGATCTGCTGATGATGATGCGGACGGCGATGACGATGGTGCTGGTGATGATGGGTGATGATGGTGATGGTGACGGCGACGACGATGATGAGGATGCTGATGCTGATGATGTTGCGAATGATGATGA